TATTAAATGATTTGGAAGCTGTTCAGACAAGCTAAATGGACTTTACTAGTATAGCACTATACTTTAGTACTTTGGCAGAAAGAAGAAGTATAAGGCTATACAAAGCATACATTTCTTAGGAGGCTTCTTCCCATAGTTTCCCGTTGGGGTTATGAAGCAGAATAGTGTCAAATCCAAAATCTGTTTCTAAATATGTTTGAGGACCTAATTTTATAGTGGAACTTGGCCATAGGCTAGAAACTGTGGAAAGCCTATGGCCCTATTCTTAGGCCTTTTGAAAATCAGTCTAAACCTGTTTCTCTGTGGTCCTTGGAAAGTGACAAGATATAACGCTTAAATAATGTGGCCCTAGCAAGAGAAGTATGCCTGAGCTCTGCTATACACTTAATTGTTAGCTGAAGCTTCTGAAGCTGAACAGTGTCCTTCCATGCCTGACATACTTAATGCATTTTACACTAACAAAGGTTTAGACAGCTCATTTGCTTTTTCATCTCATTCTTTTTTGCTTTCATTACAAATAAAAATAGAAGCTCCTGGGAGCACCTGCATAAGGTCTTAGCATAACTGTGCAATTTCAGTATAGCAACACTTAAGTTATGTAAGGTTACACAACTGACTAAATGTTATTAACATGCGGCAAACTACAGTTACAGTTGTCATACAGTTTGGATACAGTATCCCTTTTGATTATTTTTTCTTTCTGTGAAATAAAACCAACCATAACTGATTATACAAAATAAAATTTTATTAGATAATAAATATAATAAATAAGTCAGGAATATTATAACAAATAAGTTAGGTATAATATAAATAGTATATTTCAATGTGTACAATAATTTAATGAAAAACACCACTGAATAAATAAAATATTCAATATAAATAAATTATACTTGAGTGTTTGGTAGTTTGAGAATATTTTGGTAAAATAGAGCTTATTTTGTAAGAATGCAGGAATTTAGAATCTCAGCTTGGAAGGTATAGATAGCAATTTGCTCAAGAAGGCTTGTTTCATAAGACACTTTGTAACATACATGCTTATTCCCTGAAGAGCTTTTGTAGCTATGTTATTATACCTTTAAATGCAGGTTCCAGTCCTGCATGTCTACAAATTACATTGACTTCAAACAGAGGTCTGGCAGTGAATGGAACTTAGCATAGTCGTCCCTGCTCGCTGCCTCCTCCCCACTTAAAAAAAAAAAAAAAGCTTTGGTCAAATGTAAATAGAGAAAGTGCATCTAGCTCTCAGTGCTTATGAGTTTTCCCAGAGAATTCAAGTAGTTTATCATTCTGTTTATGGTCATAGCGCGAATAAGGAAAGCCTGGAGAACACTGCATAGCCTCAATCTGTCCTTAAAAGAAGGAGATCCTGTGTTGGAAGCTGGTTGCGGCACACTCACACTGTTGATATTCAAAGCCTAAAAAAAAAAAAAAAACCCCACACAAGAGGGGTAGGGGGACAGGTGGATTAGACAAATTTAACCATAACTAGATTGAAGTCTACATCTGTTTTCAAACATTTTAGCTTAATCAAAAGGTAATGTATACAATTTAAAATCAAATGTTCCAGTAAAACAAACAAACAAACAAACAAACGTCAGTGTTCAATAATAATTAAATAAGTAACACGCTGTACAGATACACTGATGCCAAAAGTTTCTTTTCAGTCTAGAAATACATCTCATAAAAGATAGCGTATTGAAATAGAGGAAGAGTTGATTATTGTTAATTGGAGAGTATATATTAATATAAAGCCCATTATTTTAAAATACAAACATGACTGCTAGCACCTATTAGCACGTGTTCACAACTGTGTTACAACTATTGCCCATTTCTTGTCAGTATATTTTACTGTTCAGTCTTCCCAACTGGATCATATTTGTGATATCTGAAATAAAAGTCACTTTTACTCTTCTAAATCTAGCTTTTTTCATGCTGGCAAAAAATACAATCATTTTATGTAGATAAGGGATACCTAGTGAAAAAGTCAAATATTTTAAAATGATATGTTCACTACTGACAGCTAGAATATTCTTTCAATAAGGCAATATACAGTATCAACCCCCTACTTCAACATTTCTACAGTCTTGAGGAAACCCCCCCCATAAATAATCTTTTAAATTATCAGATTTCAGAAGAGCTCATTATTTGGCTAAGTACAGAATGGAACACATAGAAAAGAACTTCATTCAAGATGGAAATAATGTTGAGTAATCATTTCGGTAATTGGTAGGGAGACAGACCTGCATCATTTGGTCAATAGCATCCAGTATCTTTTGATTACTGAAACTCCTAAACTCTCCCTTGTATAGCTTCAGGTCTTCAGAGATCCCTTTCAGGCATTTAGTCTGCAGAAGATACAGGGATTAGGAAATATGAAGAGTGCTGTTTGACACTTTATAAAATAAACAAGAGGAAAATAAATTGCTCCTCTGAGAGAGACTGGAAATTTACCTCATCAAAATCAGCTTTTTCCAGTACTTCACAATTTCCAGTCTGAAAAGCAAAGACATCAGACATGACATTTATTAAGTGATGATGGTGTATCTATATGATAAACTGCATGTTTCACAGAATGATGATAAAACTTAAATTTGTATTTATTGAAATACCTCTGAAGCCTCTGATATACAAGCTTTTATTGTGTTGAATTGATTCTTAGTGATATCTTCAAGGTCAACTTCTTCAAGGGTACATTCAAATCCTAGTGTGCCAAGACCCTGTGTAAACAAGAAGGATCACCAAGTCAATTATTGCACAGGATGTACCGAATAACAGGTGGCCACTGGTAACTGTTGTTGCCGCATTTAAGTCCTTCTATATCCTCCCTTCTATAAATTCTACTCAGTCATTAAAGGGGAACAAATATCCAAGCCGTAAAACCAAAGTTAAAGAGATTTTTGCCTTCGTGTTCAATGGGAACAAGTTGCGGCTTCAAACAGATTTGTATTTGTGGGCGTCACATAGGAGCATATTGCCTTCATGTTATAAATTACTTAAAGAGGATGAATGTTTGCCTTCAGAATATTGTTCTATACATTTACAATTTAAAACATTATAACTTTGTGAAAAAACAAATGACATACTATTGTATAAAAATCCAAAACAAATCATTACAGAGATGGAAAGATACATAGTTTTAATACACTAAGAAGAGGTGGTGTATGGGGAATGCTCAATCCCTGCCTTAGACTCTCCAGCCAGGGGGATCCAGGATTTGGCAAAGGGGGAAGCAGGAAAACCACCCATGCTATAGGGGTGTCTGCACCCCTGCTCCCAGCCTCTTTTCCCCCAAGCCGGATAGACTGCTGCAGGAGCCTCCAGGGACTATTTAAAGTTCCCAGAGCAGGTAAGCATCTCTGCCTTCCTCTGTGCTCAGAGACATACCCTTTTCCTCCCCCTCTGTTCCCTCTCCTCCTCCTGTAGTGGCTGCTATCCCTGCTGTCCAGGGTACATGGGAAGCTTCACAGCTGCTCCTGCCTGTGCAAGCCCGGCTACACAGGATCTGGGCTCAGCTGAGAGCAGCAGCAGCAATGGGGAGGGCAGGAGCGTGGTTCCCCCAAGAGCAGGCAGGGGAAGCCCCCAACACTTACTGCCCTAGGTGAGTCCTGCAGGAGTGGGCAGGAGCAGCTCTGAGAATTCCCCTGCTCTCAGGACAGCAGGGAAAGCAGCTGTGGCAGGTGGGGGGACAGAGGAGGAGAAGGGGGGATTCTCCTTCTCTTTGGGGACTTTCTAAAAGTCCCCAGAGGCTCCAGCACCATGGACCAGTCCATAAGGGGTGGGGGTGGGGGGGTTCAGCCATGCCAGTGCACCCCTCGGATCCAGGGTAGCTACTCATGCTGCCATAGCCATCGCCTCAGAAGCACCTCACTGATGGAAGGAGACTGGCTGAGCCCCACCTTGGGGAAGGTGTAGTTAGCAACCTTTTTCTGTTAACCAAACGCAAGGCAACAAAACAATTATTTGGGGAAAAAAAAGGGAAGAACAAGCCATAGGTTAGTACAAAGCAAGGCAAAACCCTGGGATAGGGAAGTTAAGGAGAAATTAGAGCCAGCCTGGAAACACTGAAAGCGAACACGGTTAAAGCACAAAGGAAAAAAGGACCCAGGAAGCGAGTTTGTGAGGCAGCAGGTCCTGGCTCTGGACCCCGCACCTCCGGCCACATTTGCCTGCCCCTCCTGCCAGACAGGTGTCCGGCCTCGTGAGACAACACTTCTCCGGCCCCTTTTTTTTATGGCCCAGAGCATCCCAGCACTAGGGAGCGCCTGGGGCCAGGGAAAGGCGCAGGGAGCCCTTCTGGGCCCGCGCCCCGCGCACCCACCTGCAGCTGCGCCAGGGACTCGTTGGCGGCGGCCAGGAGCGCGGC